TGTATTTGTTCAGAGAGAGAATGGATTAATAAAGAGGATTTTTGTGCAGCAGTCAGCTCTTTGTGAGCTCGAGACTTCGTCGCCACTTACTGTGAACAGCTTCTGCACTGAATTAGATCTAAAGAGGAAACGTGTCCTGATTTCTATTCACTAATCACAGCAGCATGATAATTTTCTGCACTTTTCAAAGACCCCTGAGCTGCTGCTGCACAAACACTGAGGTGTTCCTAATAAGGTGCTCGTGCTGCTGAACTGACCTGTGACTTTCAGAGTCATCTTGGTCTGATAGCCCACTTTGGGGATGTCGCAGTCATACGGGCCAGCGTCGTCTGCCCTCAGGTCCTTTATGAGGATGGAGAAGTTTCCAGTCTCGTATTGGTTTGGGAAGCTGAACACGCGACTTTTGAACTTTGGATCCATTTTATCCTCTCTGCCGTTGAAGATGTCCAACACAACTTTGTCATCCTTGTCCCTCCAGAAGGCGTTGACCTCCTTGGGCAGCTTTTCAGAGTAGACGCAGGGCAGGAGGACCTCACCCCCGATGAAGCCGGTCCTCACAGACTGGCTGCTGGCTGCAGGACAACAGGACAGGTGAGTTACAGATTACCTGTGCACAGCTTCACCACAGCTCTGTGCTTTAGCTCACTGTTTAAGCAACAGACTAAAAAACTTAATGTTCCAGTTTTTCTCTGGATAAACTTCTGTCCTCTGAACCAAATCATCACAAGCCAATTTATGGAATCAGTCTGTTGTTTGGAAAAACCTTAAACACATAAAACACTCACTGGATGTTCTCCTGCTTAGTAAACCCTCATGAATGTCTTTAAATATGCAGAGGACTGAAAATTTTTACTGTGATTAAAATCTGCCACACGATGATGGGAATACTCGGTAATTGCTGCTGCACTGTGTAATTCATGCTCAGTGCTGTGAGTGAGTGACCTGCAAACATCATGTGACTTTGAGCACAGGGAAAATCTCACAGCAGAGGAAGAACACGAGCAGTATTTTAGCATTAATTAATCGGATTCAGCTGTAAATGTCTGTCCTGAGACTCTGAGGGGCCGTAAACTGAAGCCAAGAACAGCTTCCCTCTTTTCCTAACTGTAATCCAAGTCCTTCATCAGCTAAATACTTCACTAAATGGCACTGACCTACATGATTACAGAGCTCTGCAGAAAAGTGAATCAGGTCTTAGAAATAGTTCATCTTTAAATATCTGCAAATACCAGAGATCCGAATCATGAATGTGAAGGCAGGCTATTACAATAAACTAAACCTGAGGCAGGTCAGATCAAACTGAACTTTTTTCTATTCATAATCAAAGGAAAATGTATAAAATAATAAAAGTGAATAAAAAAATAAATTAAAGGTTTGGGACTTCAACACTAAACCTGCCAAATGTTAAAGTGGATTTAAACTGTGGTGACTTTAGTGTGTGGAATTCAAAACAAGGGTGTTCACACAATTAACATAATAAAAACAAAGATAAGCTGCCAGAAGATCTGTCTGTGTGGAGCTGATTTGTACAGAATCTGACAAATCCTGCTTCTTTTCCACTGGTTGTTACTCTGTAAAGCAGGAACATCAAACTCATTAGGGTGACGTACAGCCCATTTTTATCCGAGGTGGTCCGAACCAGTAAAACTGTCCTGTCTGTCAGTGAAGTTTAACTACACATTTAGCTGAGATGATTTCATTTAGAAAAAAAACAAGTGTCATTTCAATAATATTCTTCAGTTTTCCTACATGTTGAAAAACATCCTGCTGTAGTAAGTGGGAGACATCTATCAGAGCAACTCGTAAACTGTAAGAAATCAACATGGAAAATTATATAAAATGTTCTAATGGCTGATTGTACAGACTGAAATGAAATGAAAGCCCCTGTTCTGTTAGTTACTTTA